GAGATCCAGCACCCCGAGTTCCAGCACCCCGAGATCCAGCACCCCGATTCCCTCCCCCGACTCCTCTATTCAGAGTCCCTTCTCTCTATCAACACCACCATCCTCCTTTCAACTGCAACCCTCTCCACTAGCCACACAAACCTCCTCTCAGAATCCTCCTGCTAGAGCTACAACTGGCTCGATCCGCTCAAGCAGAACGGTGACAAGAGACGTCCGAAACGACGAGTTTAAGCAGTTGCTGGCAGAACAGAAACGGACAAACGACATCCAGGAAGGCATGCTTAGACTGCAACGAGCGAAAAATAAACGATCAGTGAAATACATTTCATTGTGGTAGTTGTACATATCTCAGTGACTGAGCATATAATTATAAACGTTTGATCTATTATGGTATATATAATCTTTAATCTTACAGTTAAGTTACATGGTACGCATGGAATTTATCATATTATTTTATATTGTTGTAACATACTTGTTTATTTTTGTCTCTAGCTCTTGATGAATGATTTAAAACGATTTAAATTACATTTTTATAACACATCAATAAACTTGATAGAATTACATTAGATACACTTGAAATAAAGTAAGAACAAGAAATAAAGACCGCCATCAATTCTATTAACACAACGCAAAACGAGTTCAATTTATGATCAAAATGGCGTTATACAAGAGCTGCGCGTTCCGACTGCGTGAATTAACTTGTGTTGCGAATCTCCTATTGGTCAATGTACCGCGTCACGTGATAAAACAATTTGCTCTACGATCAACCTTGAACTGAGTTTCGTGGACAAGATTCCGGAGGCTAATTAAATTGATTTACTCCAGTAGCAGGGAGGAGTTGAGTGTGCACTTCGATGTATAGAGTTTTTTGCTGCTGAATCGGGTTAAATAGGTCATTGGTAACTCAAAAAATCGAGGGCCGCATGTTGTGTCGCTAGTCCCAACCCTGTGGAGCCACGCCCATATTTCATATCAGGTGCGTATATGGGAAATATGTATCTCAGCTTCTGAAGGTCTTAGAGACTCAAAATTGACTTTAAAATGACCGCAATGCACATGTTTATATTGGTACTATGAAGGTCATGAAAGCCCAAAATGCTTATTTTTGGAAAAAAATCAGAAAAACCAATCGTCACTTGGGCGCGAGTAAAAAATCGACTCTTAGAAATTGAGTGAAAATCGAGTAAGCAGTTCAGTGTCTACAACATTTCTAAACACAGGGTCCTCTGTTAGGTCATTCTAAATCAGAATTGATAAAGTAATCAAATTCTATTAGTAGTTTCAACCCTGTGGAGCCACGCCCATATTTCATATTATGTGCGAATATGGGAAATTTGTATCTCAGCTTCTGAAGGTCTTAGAGACTCAAAGGTGGGCTTAAAATGACCGTAATGTACATGTTTATATTGGCACTATAAGGGTCATGAAGGCCCAGAATGCTTATTTTTTGGAAAAATTCAGTAAAACCGATTTTCACTTGGGCGTGAGTAAAAATCGACTCTTAGAAGTTAAGTGAAATCGAGTATGAAGTTCAGTGTCTGCAACGTTTCTAAACACAGGATCCTTTGTAAGGTCATTCTGAATCAGAATTGATAAGGTACGCAAATTCTATTAGTAGTTTTAACCCTAGGGTGCAAAACTCCTAAATTACCACCAGGCGCAAATATATAATGACTTTTCTATCTCGGCTTCTGAAGTTCTGAACGTTGTAGGGGCCTCTCTTTGAGCTCAAACTAACTGCGATGGCCACATTTATATACTCTATAGTGCTTAGTTTTTAAAAACTCATTAAAAACTGTTTTAACCTTCATGCATCATAAAGTAGTAACATCAAACATGTACTTAATCATGGTATCTCGGGCTAAAAAAGTTTTATAGACATTTGCAGCACAGGAAAACGTTCAACATAAACACATTCGGATAACATTTATGGAGCAGCACATACCACCTAACTTTAATTTTGGTATAACTGCGAAAATACTCAGTTTCAGAAGCTCCTTCCAGCTATCTTAGGCTGCCTTCAGCTCCCTCTCTGGGGCTCTCTTCAGTACTGCTTGGCTATTATGGCTAATCAACTTGAATCCAACCTCATGTAGCAGAATCTACTTCTATAGCTACCTTCTGCTAACTCCATGTCAACTCTACCCAGCTACCACCACCAGTACGTTATAATTTTAGATCTTTCTAGCAACCTCTGATATGAGTGCTATCTTTTCCTTTATCCAGCTACTATACCACCAGATGGCAGAAACCACAAATTCCAGCTGTTTTCACCTACTTCGGCTACCTCTATTTAGCTACCACCAAGGTTCCTCCAACTTCTGCTATTTCTAGCAACCTTAGCTTAAGCTATTGGGCTACGTCTTGCCCTGTCTAGCAACCATCAGCAACATTTTATTCTGGTGTTTAGAGGTTGCTAGAAACAGCAAATTTCCTCTTCCTTAATGAGCTGGAAATTGTTGGATGCAGCAAAGATAGTACTCATATCAGAGGTTGCTAGAAAGATCTAAAATTACAACGTACTGGTGGTGGTAGGCGGTACCTGGGTAGAGTTGACATGGAGTTAGCAGAAGGTAGCTATAGAAGTAGATTCTGCTACATGAGGTTGGATTCAAGTTGATTAGCCATAATAGCCAAGCAGTACTGAAGAGAGCCCCAGAGAGGGAGCTGAAGGCAGCCTAAGATAGCTGGAAGGAGCTTCTGAAACTGAGTATTTTCGCAGTTATACCAAAATTAAAGTTAGGTGGTATGTGCTGCTCCATAAATGTTATCCGAATGTGTTTATGTTGAACGTTTTCCTGTGCTGCAAATGTCTATAAAACTTTTTTAGCCCGAGATACCATGATTAAGTACATGTTTGATGTTACTACTTTATGATGCATGAAGGTTAAAACAGTTTTTAATGAGTTTTTAAAAACTAAGCACTATAGAGTATAATAGACCCTACGGTTCTTTACAGTTGGTATATAAATGTGGCCATCGTAGTTAGTTTGAGCTCAAAGAGAGGCCCCTACAACATTCAGAACTTCAGAAGCCGAGATAGAAAAGTCATTATATATATTTGCGCTTGGTGGTAATTTAGGAGTTTTGCACCCTAGGGTTAAAACTACTAATAGAATTTGCATACCTTATCAATTCTGATTCAGAATGATCTTACAAAGGATCCTGTGTTTAGAAACGTTGCAGACACTGAACTTCATACTCGATTTCACTTAACTTCTAAGAGTCGATTTTTACTCACGCCCAAGTGAAAATCGGTTTTACTGAATTTTTCCAAAAAATAAGCATTCTGGGCCTTCATGACCCTTATAGTGCCAATATAAACATGTACATTACGGTCATTTTAAGCCCACTTTTGAGTCTCTAAGACCTTCAGAAGCTGAGATACAAATTTCCCATATTCGCACATAATATGAAATATGGGCGTGGCTCCACAGGGTTGAAACTACTAATAGAATTTGATTACTTTATCAATTCTGATTTAGAATGACCTAACAGAGGACCCTGTGTTTAGAAATGTTGTAGACAGTGAACTGCTTACTCGATTTTCACTCAATTTCTAAGAGTCGATTTTTTACTCACGCCCAAGTGAAAATTGGTTTTTTTGATTTTTTCCCAAAAATAAGCATTTTGGGCCTTCATGACCTTCATAGTACCAATATAAATATGTGCATTGCGGTCATTTTAAAGTCAATTTTGAGTCTCTAAGACCTTCAGAAGCTGAGATACATATTTCCCATATACGCACCTGATATGAAATATGGGCGTGGCTCCACAGGGTTGGGACTAGCGACACAACATGCGGCCCTCGATTTTTTGAGTTACCAATGACCTATTTAACCCGATTCAGCAGCAAAAAACTCTATACATCGAAGTGCACACTCAACTCCTCCCTGCTACTGGAGTAATTTACATGATCTCAGATTACAAAATGTTTCGTGGACACTTTTTAGGCGCGATCGTAAAGTTACGATCGATCTTAGAGTACACGATATAACTTACGATATAACTTTCGTGGAGGACACCACGATTATTATCTTCGAAAACACTTACTTTTTAAAAGTTTTACGGTACCGTAAAACTTTTAAAAAGCGTAAAATACTAAAGCGTAAAATACTAAATCCATCACTCAAAGCCGGGAAGGTCACGTATTCGGTATTGCAGATAAAACCTCTCACGTGAGAGGTTTTATCTGCAATACCGAATACGTGATCTTCCCGGCTTTGAGTGATGGATTTAGTATTTTACGCTTTGTTTCAAATTCAGGGAACACTCAACAGTCTTTTTTTGCCAAAAGTCACCTGAGTCACCTGATCGGACAAACGTCTGATACTACTTTTGTTGGGGTGCTTTTGTTTATTTTGAATTGATCTGCTTATATCATTATTTATAGCTATCAGTGTTATTACCTAAAGTTGACGACGAAATGAAATCCATCGGTTTATAATTATAACGAACAAGATTAGCAATACTAGTGCGGAGTGCCCAACTCAGCTTAATAAGCACGCCGAAGCCCAATTGACTATTGCGTCATTTTCATAGTTCATTTTGGTATAAATAACTAAATAATCATCATTAACGTTCGTACTATCCTAACATATTCATAATAAGGTCATTACCTTCGTGGTCGATCACCCCACCATAATTGTGACCATTCACAAACAGTCTACATCTCACTAAGCTTCATGTCGTCTACATCTCGTTACATCACTTACCAGTCAGCCAATTATCTCACCAGCGGGAGCTCACTCAAAATAGCTTCTTTTCCTGGCACACACCACGTGACCTCACTTTCTCTCTAAAAACTTAGTCAGAACGTGATCTAACCTTAACAGGTAAACGTGAAGTTCCTAACGTTCCCCTCCTTCTTCTCTTCTTAAAAACATGAGGAGCCGGCGGACCCGCATTGTAACGCGTCTTATCATGTAGTAGTTATCATAACCACATTACGTAACACACACACATTACACACTGTAACCTGCATGTCACGTGACAAGCTTGCAGCAGCAGGAAACTAGCGGCTCTGTGCTGCTGCACGTATCATGTGTGCATAAAGCAGCACCAACTTCTACCTGCTGTTTGTCCTAGACTATATTATCGTGTGCTATTTTTAGATCCTCCACTGCACGACTTGTCCTTGCTCCTTGCACGTACTACTGAAGATATATCTGCTACACTGCATAGGACTATTTCGGTGGTACTGCCCGTTTATTTTAGAAGTTCGCGTTACTTCAGCTGAGACTGTGATTATTCCTGTTGGAGCTGGAATCCAATATAAGGCTGGACCTGACCATGATGGGCATAAATGAATCTACAAAGTCACTGCTCAGGTCAGTTTATTGCTTGTTGTACGTCAAGTGTGTTAAATGTGATTTGCTGCTATCTTGGTTGTGCTATTTTCAGGTACAGCTGCATGTTTTAGTATCTGCCATCTGGAATATGCTTGGAACAGTTTTTAAGATTCAGATTGTGTCGAATCGTTAAGATAAATAACCACAAAACTATTTTATAAGTTCTTTTAGTTGTAATTGTGTTACTCTGTGGTTTACTTGCTCCGTACTGTATCAATTAATCATAAACCTTACTTTGTTATTATAGTATTATGACTTTGTTATTACTTTGTTGTAACTTTGTTATGATTTTGTTATGATTAACTACGACCTGTTTTACAATGCTAGACGCCTTTGCACAATCCCACTGCTACTTTACTGATTAAATATTTGTGCGTATTCCTGTCATTAATTAATATTTTGATTCGTTATCTTCAACCCCGTACAAATGCTACAAATCCTCATATTATTAATGATGATCAGCACTCTAAATTTACTGTTTAAGGTAATGACTAATGATATAATTATGTAATTGTTTATTGTAAGTATATATTATCTATCTTTAAATTGATTGTATTCGAATATCATATTAATAAAATACTGAAAACTTAAAATGTTTATGGTACATTTTTATGATATCTATATTTTAAGCTGCAACCTTTTTAGTCCATTAGAACAAACTTTATAGTATGCCTTGGTTGCAGGATCGTTCCAGTTTCCACTAATAAGCTATAGGTGCACTTAGGGACCGATATAATTGCTAAGTTCCTATGACCAGTTTACTCGTCATTTGGTGTTTCGGTGTCCCTAATTTTGTTTACACTCATAAGTCACTTTTGTAAAGGCATGTACATTCTTGTGAAAAGGCCCTTTAGGTGTGAAATTGATCTGAATCGGTGTATTTTTGGACGCTGATTCCGAATCACCCCACATGACGTAGGGTAAAAATGCTTCCACGGAGAGTTATGGGCAAAAAACCGTTTTGGTCACGTGACAGGCTAGCAAAACATGAATTCGATTGTTTAGGGCTCGGGTTAGGGTTAGGATTGTGGTAAGGGTTATGGTTAGCTTCGGGGTTATGGTTATGGTTATGGTTAGCTTCGGGGTTATGGTTATGGTTATGGTTAGGGTTCCGGTTAGGGTTGGGATAAGGGTTTATGTAAAACCGTTTTGTACGGCTGCAAAACCATAAAAACCAAAGTCACGTGAAATTTTTGGGCGAGCGAATTAGTAAGAGCCGTCTTCCGGCGTATTTTCTTTGTAATAAAATTAATAAAAATGATGTACTACTTTTGATGATACAAACTCAAAGTTACTGGACCATTATTACCAAGGTTACTGTAGCAGTATTATCAAGGTTACTGTACCATTATTATCAAGGTTACTGTACCAGTGTTGTCAAGGTTACTGTACCAATGTTACCAAGGTTACTGTACCAGTGTTGTCAAGGTTACTGTACCATTATTATCAAGGTTACTGTACCAGTGTTGTCAAAGTTACTGTACCATTATTATCAAGGTTACTGTACCAGTGTTGTCAAAGTTACTGTACCATCTTACTATATATAAAGCGAGACGATATATATATATATATTATGATTGGCTACTGGGACACGTCATACACACGGTTGGATTGTTAATTCGGTTGAAGTACCTTTACATCCATTATCACCATAATCTGAACATGATTTATTAAAAATTTGCAATATCGAAAACGAAAAATCTGAATAAACTGAAAATTTTAAAACTGAAAGCTGCACTCAATTGATGGAAGGCAAAAATTTACTCATAACTAGCAAGGTAATAACTACAAATGAACAGCAGATTTATAAATCTGCTGATAAAAATTAGATAAAAGACAAGGTAACTGATAAGAGTTTTAAAATTACACGTAAGCAGATAAATTGTCTAAAATTTCTGTCTCAAATCAAGTTTATAGTGCATCATGAATTTAGGCTTGTTCGATCAAAGTTATATTAGGAGATATTAGGAAAATAGTTCGGTCGGCCGGAAGGGAGTCCAGACTGAGTGTGGTGTGGAGGCAGGATCACCGAGAGACTCGAGATGCTTGTGAGAGTAGTGTACTCATCTAACCGCCATCCAGTATGTGCCACCGGTAGAAATACATATATTATGATTGGCTACTGGGACACGTCATACACACGGTTGGATTGTTAATTCGGTTGAAGTACCTTTACATCCATTATCACCATAATCTGAACATGATTTATTAAAAATTTGCAATATCGAAAACGAAAAATCTGAATAAACTGAAAATTTTAAAACTGAAAGCTGCACTCAATTGATGGAAGGCAAAAATTTACTCATAACTAGCAAGGTAATAACTACAAATGAACAGCAGATTTATAAATCTGCTGATAAAAATTAGATAAAAGACAAGGTAACTGATAAGAGTTTTAAAATTACACGTAAGCAGATAAATTGTCTAAAATTTCTGTCTCAAATCAAGTTTATAGTGCATCATGAATTTAGGCTTGTTCGATCAAAGTTATATTAGGAGATATTAGGAAAATAGTTCGGTCGGCCGGAAGGGAGTCCAGACTGAGTGTGGTGTGGAGGCAGGATCACCGAGAGACTCGAGATGCTTGTGAGAGTAGTGTACTCATCTAACCGCCATCCAGTATGTGCCACCGGTAGAAATACATATATTATGATTGGCTACTGGGACACGTCATACACACGGTTGGATTGTTAATTCGGTTGAAGTACCTTTACATCCATTATCACCATAATCTGAACATGATTTATTAAAAATTTGCAATATCGAAAACGAAAAATCTGAATAAACTGAAAATTTTAAAACTGAAAGCTGCACTCAATTGATGGAAGGCAAAAATTTACTCATAACTAGCAAGGTAATAACTACAAATGAACAGCAGATTTATAAATCTGCTGATAAAAATTAGATAAAAGACAAGGTAACTGATAAGAGTTTTAAAATTACACGTAAGCAGATAAATTGTCTAAAATTTCTGTCTCAAATCAAGTTTATAGTGCATCATGAATTTAGGCTTGTTCGATCAAAGTTATATTAGGAGATATTAGGAAAATAGTTCGGTCGGCCGGAAGGGAGTCCAGACTGAGTGTGGTGTGGAGGCAGGATCACCGAGAGACTCGAGATGCTTGTGAGAGTAGTGTACTCATCTAACCGCCATATATATATATATATTTCATGGCTGGACTTCTACACAATAAAAGAAAGCGGTTGTGATTAGATCGTCGAAAGTCTTTGCATCATTTATTTACATCAATTCTGAGAAATTATATCATTAAAGTAACTACAACAAATACGAATCATATACAATTGAGAATAAATACAAACTAAAAGCAGTGGGAAAATCCGATGAACTGAAATTTAAAAAAGAAACTGAAAGCCGTTAAAAATGTACTCTTATCTTATCTCTTATCTAAATACTGATAACTGATTCTCGGAAAATCACTTTAAATCACAACAAAAAACCTGTAAAATTAATACTAAAGTAAAAAATGTAGTATGCACGTCTCTGGAATAATGGTATAACTAAATAAAATCTACAAAATATACTAAAACTAAAACTAAGCTCCGGCAGATTTAAAAAGTATATGGTTACTATCAAGGGTGTTCATACCCCCAAACCGTTCAAGGGTTTTCAATTGGGTCTGGTAGAACCCCTCTCTAGCTTCCATAGCCTTTTCTTTGTCTGCTTTACTAATATTAGGCTCAAATACTAAAGCGTCTACTATAATGACAGAAAGGTGCTTACTAAGTGAGGAATTATAGGAGGCTATGGTGCTAAAATCTAAATCATGATCAATATCTAAAAAATGGTTAACTAATTTACAACTTCTTATACCTTTCTTTATGTGACTCTTATGGTTAGAGAATCTCTTAGGGAGATTTGAGGTAGTATAACCGACATACGACTGTTTACAAGTCTTACACTCCATTAAATAAATGAGGTTATAACTCTGACAAGATATATACTTAGTTATAGGGAAAACTTGTTTAGAATGGTGACTACTAAAGTTGGAACAGGGGGACAGGAAATTTTGCTTACAAACATAGCATTTACCACAAGCATGGCACCCTGGGTCGACAGCCCCGGGAACCGCCCTTAGACTTTCGGAGTCTGGTTCCTGGATCTGACTTGCAGTTGTTTCTCTCTCATTATCACAGTTTAAAGTTCCACTGGCACGGTACTTATTGTGTACAAGCATGCCACCGATAGTTTGATTCTTTCGATGACTCACGAATACACTGTCCGCACGTACCAGCTTCTTCAGGGCCGGATCAAGGTTGAGAAGGTGCTTATACTTATGGATAATGCCCCCCATGTTGGGAAGTGCTGGATTTTGATCCATCACCATGGGTATTAAACAGGCAGTCGACTCATCCTTGTCTTTAAGGGTATACAAGTTTTTCCTATTAGCTATATCACTAAATTTGTTAAAGGCATCTTCTATAATACTGGAATGATAACCTCGGGCTAGAAGGTAACGTGTATAGACCTCTCTCTGCTCCAAGAAGTTAGTGTCTTCACTGTTGTTCTGTCTCACCCGCCTCGCCACTCCAAAAGGTATGTTTTTTACAACATGGTTCCTATGGCATGACGTGGGGATAAGGTAGCAGTGGGTGTCACTAGGTTTAGAGTAGAGTTTGGTGTGGACAACATCACCAACAGCATAGACATAGGTGTCTAGAAACTCAACGCCGTCCCTAGAGTAGTCGTAAGTAAACAAAAGGTTTGGGTGGATACTATTGAGCCATTCCATGAATTGTAATAGTTCCTCAACAGTACCGGGCCAAGCCATATAAATGTCATCACGTAATCTACCCCAGAATGCTGGTCTATGAGGCGGGCCATATTCTAGATCTCCTTCGTTAACTAAGATATCAATCTTATCCATAGCACAATCAGCATACTCACATGAGTTCTTAGGACCCATCGCTGCTCCACGCTCCTGGCGGTATGTTATACCGTTAAATGAAGCAATGTTGTA